ATGTTGTATATCATAAGTGTCGTAATCTTGTTTATTATCAAACTTTGTTTTCCTTCGAACACATTGATTGATAACGCTCATGAGTAGTTCTTGTGTTATATAACTGAATACTGTAACATGAGCTGCATGTTTGCCTTGTGATTTACAACTTATTTGGGGTGAATATTAATTAAACATGATTCAAAAGGCAATAAAGCAATAAAATGTAAGTATGAATAGATATATACTGTTATGGGTTGAAAGCTACATAGGAAAAACAAATGGAATTTCATCTTGCAGTTTGTTTTTGTTTTTTGTTTTTTTTTGGTGTTGGTGGTAATTACAAGGTTGGTCAACTTGACCAACCTTATATAGAGTTAGAATAGAGAAAAATAACACAAAGTTTTACTGAAAAACACATTTGAAATTTATTTAGGAGGTTTTAGAGATTACAAAAATAGAAAAGTATTTTTAATCTTAACATGAAACTACTTTGCATTTGGACTAGTCAGTAAAGACTCAATATATTCGTGGACAAATCTTTAGTAAAAATACTTCATTAAAAAACCTGATTTTTTGTGTACAAAGACTTGTAATGTTCACTGAAAGTCTGCCAAATTTTGTGGAGATATACACACACTCGATATTGGATGTCAGAAGTATTAAATATATAGACTTTAAACGAGTACAAAGAGGTCATGTGGTTGGTCAAATTGACTGAGCCTGTTGAGAGATCTAAATAAAGTACCGAAACCATGAATGAAAATGTCTTTGTGATATTTTTCTTTATTTGTTAAGCAAATACAAATTTGTGTTTTATACAACGCTTCTATAAAAATCAATTTTTTAGTTCTTTCAAAGAAACACATACTGTATTAAAAGTTGTAGTATGCAAACTTTAACGAGTACAAAATGGTTACTAAGTTGTCAATTTGACCAATCCCATAATGAGAGAGTTAAACAATTATCAAAAGACACCAGTCAACATCTCACTATCAAATATCACTCGATAGCTCAGAAAGTAATGCTTGTCAAACCCTTACAGATATTGATCTATCAATCAACCAACAGTTCTAACTGTATCTTAACTGATTGGTTATCATATTACCTCTTGTAAACACCTTACTATGAATCACTAAATAATTTGGAAAGCAAGGAACACCACTTCCTATCAGTCATTGATTTTTTCAGTTAACTGACTCTCCTAACTTCTGGCCAAGCACTTAATCCCAGCCATATTTACATAATTTCCCCCAATAAACTCCTAGATATTTAAAAAAATCTTTGAAACATGTTACGTTAAGTCAATATTGCTTTTTATGGCACTGGCTCACCCCATGGTAGAACTCTTGATTTGAGAGCTAGCAACACGGATTAGAATTCATGACATATCACAAAATATTTCGAACAATTTAAGCTGTGGGTGTATTATAAGAGTGACAGTCAATCCCTTATCACAGGTGGTAGGTTACTCCTGACTGGTTGCCTTCCCTCTGGTCTGTAGTTCAAAACTAGGGGTGGCAGCAGATAGCCCTAAAAGCTTTGCAATAAATACAAACGCAGTTACTTTTTACTTGTAAATGTACTGTAAGAACTTAGTGTAGTGAATTTGTTTTGTTTTTTCTACATTTGTTTTGTATCCAGAAAGTGAGAAAATAAGTAAACTGTAAATAGAAATCACTATCTTTGTTGTTCTAAGATAGTGTTAAAACTTAAATATTCTAAAATTATGGTAATGATCTTGTACCAACATAAATTTCAGAAAGTTCGCTGTAATCAGAGTGAAAGTTTGATGTGTAGCGGGGTATGTAACAAGCACTTAAATTGTAAGCTCCACAAGTGTAGTCAACAGTGTCATGCCGGGAGCTGTCCACCCTGTCAAGTTGAATTGGAGCAAAGTAAGTATACTTCTGCATACAATTTTCAATGTCTACAAGTTGAAACCATAGAAATAATTTGGTTTTAGCTTTACTTTGTATTTGGGAAAATGTATTTTTAAAATATATGTAGCTTACTTTCAAATCAAGCTTAATATAGAAGCTTGTCTTATTGTTTTGGCAGCATTAGCTCCTACTTATGTCTTAAATAAATGTAGCATTTCTTAAGTATGTCACTATCATGTTAAGGACAGAGATTACTCTTCTGGCCTAGAATTTATGCCTTACCCTTAAGTACTTGCAGTAAGGTGCATCACAAACTACCCTCAAATTTGTATTTTTTTACATGGTACATCTAGTAAATATTGGTGTGTGTCACAAAATATCCTACAATTTTGTACCTTGTTGCATTATACTCAAATATACTGTGATTTCATACACATTTCCCCTAGTGTGACACACACGACACATTTTCTCTAGGTACCTTCTCTATTTTATCCACCACCCCTTCAGTAACTGCAAACTTAAATGTGCATTACTCACTATACAATCATCATTGCTCAGACAAACCATAATTTTTATAGCCTTCAATTTTGTTTGGTTACAGAGCTATCAAATAGAAAATCAGCCCCTTCCTGTCACACTCACCTATCACATCCTCTCTTTCAGGATTTGTTAATAGTTCTCTCTTACGTTTAATTATATATTACCTATAATCAATAGAGAGCCAAGGTTTGTATCTATCAAATGACGTAGTATATTACATTGCGTTCTGAACAGATAATCGTCACTTTCACTTGTAATACAACTTGACAATGGCTAGCTTGGATGAATTTGTAATGGCTCTTATCACATATCTAAAAAGCCAGAAACATTGTGATTGTTAGGGGAAATTGTCTGCTTTTTGCACATTATTAGTATATATTCTTTGGTGCATTATTTAATGCACTACTACCATTAGTATATAAAAAAAAAAGGTATGGGTTAAGTGTCATTGATAGTTGACAGAAAAGAATACTCGAGTAAGTGCTTTATTTCTTTTTTTTCATGTTTATTCTTTATTTATTATTATAAAAGTAGCTAAAATGTAAAAATAGGAATCTCTTTAGGTTAGTTAAGGTTATATTAGTTAAAATAAACAATAATAATATATTAAAAATATTTCACAAACCATGCATGTGAGCAGCATGACAAATTCTCTATTTGCCTGAAAATTGTGCTCATTTATCCTCTTAGTTCATGTATTGCATTAAATATACATAAAATGATCTATATATAACATGAAATATGTAGGTGATAACATTCACGTATAAAAACATGTAATTCAATGCACATACTTATCAATGTATATTTGAATTACACAATGTCACCATTCAGCAGCAACTCTGATAGCCATGACAGCCAACATCAGCACACGTCACTTTTCCAACATGCTGATGATGTGTATGGCTTTTTGAAATTTATACAGCCTATGTCAATTTTTCATGCTGTTCTAGAGAACAACTTCTTTACTGCACTTCAGGAAGACTAGTAGTAATATAGACCTACAGGTATGATCTTGCTACTTTGATACAACATGTGGTTATGTTAGCTAATATGGAAGATTGCTTAGGTTTTCTTATTGGAAGACCTCATCTGTTCTAAGAATGTGGTTACAGTTTCTAGGTAGATTGCGTGATTATTGTAAGACATCATACTCATGTCTCATTAAGTAATACATACTGCTAAAATGTTTGTTTTGCATTAATTGTGTGACTAACACAACACAGTATGATTAAGAATATAAGAATGAAATATTCATTAATGATCTTGTATCTGATAATGAAATGTTTAATTATAGACCTAATTTTTCAGAAACAATCTACATTTTACTGGACACCACTATAAATGATATGTTGTCGTAGATACTGATGGAGTGTATGTTTGTCATTGTGTTTATTAAGCATACTTCATACATGTTATTATTAATTTACAAAGAAACCAGTTATAACCTTGTACATTGGATCTTTGCTATTTGTGAATCAAACTTAGTGTGCAGTAGAAGTTTTGGGGTTCTCCAAGCAACCCATAAGTATAGATAATCAAGTATTTTAAGTAAGTAATGTTATTTCATTATTCATGTTAGACAAACTAGCACTGCTTTGGCTCTCAGCTTAAGTTAATGATTTAAATTGATCATCATACTAATTTGATCTTGAACACGCGATTATGATGACTAAAATGCAATATTTTAGTAGCAGATTTTCAATTTCAGTCGTGTATAGACCACTCAAATGATACTGAATAATGAAAAAATAAGAATGAATTAAATAAATAAGAGACAAAATAGTTAGGTACATAATCATCAAAGCTGAGAACATTGACATGAATTTAACTCGGAGAAAAACTGTTATTTTCTACAACTCTTGTTATATTTTAAGTTAATAAAATAGTTAGTGCAAGTCAGTGATGAGATAAAGAAAATACTAAATGATTCTCATTAAAACAATGAACATCAAACACTATAACCTTTGTAAAAGAGCACAATATTTTTTCTTAAATCATGAAATGTGGGATCCAATTGATTACAAATGATGCTTATAAAGCATGTATTTGCTTTTCATGTTTTTAATTAACTGTACAATATGCAGTTTCCATTTCAGCTACAAGCATGTATGAGATGGCTTAATTTATGCAAGACTAGCCTTTATTATAAGAGTATGAGCAGTGGAGAAATATTCTTAGCTGACACGAAGTATGTTAAAATGATTTTACTTGCTTTATCACATATGGGTATGGACTTGTACAGTTTTCATTGCATGGTGGATACTATGTTTATGTTATCCATTAATGTTGCAAAGAATGTTTATCATTGAGTTTCATTGTTGTGTGTTTTTCAAAGAAGGCTTTATATGCTTATTGGTTCTTATATATTTAAAAATAATTTGAGTCTAGCTTTCCATGTAATAGTTATTAAGCAAGTTTCATAGGTTTCAGTGAACATTTTTATTTCTGTGAAATCTTCTGGTAAGATTCAACTCTTAACTAATAAGTGATTTTTAGTTGTGGAAATTTTGGAAATATCCTGTAATTTTTTTCTTATTCATGTATATATAATTCTTGTGTCACATAGTGTCCTGTAGACATCTTACTATGAAACTTTACTTGATAGCCAAGGATATACTGCTCATATCCTCTTCCTCAGCTTATCCACCTCTGATTCTTTCAGGTTCATGAGTAATTTTGATCTTCAGTTTATTGATGTGTTTCATGTGCATATCAAGCTACTGTTTTCTCTCTCATAGTACACTTTATTGAGCTGACAAATACAAGATACAGATCATTCTAGCCAGAAGTGATTGTTTACTTGCTGTAAGTACATACCATATCCATACCCTGTAACTAAAAGCATGTCTTTTTTTTTTTTTTAATGATGGCTGATTTATGTAACTGTTGACAATCAAGTTCATGTACCATAGTGAAATGGCAATAGTTGAACATCTGTGCTGAGCAGAAAGCTGTACATCAGATGTGCTAGGAGCTTTACTCACCCAAATACAAGGAAATTTAGAGAACGACCAGCCAGTTTTTGCTCAGTTGTGCAATATGTCATCATGACATACTGGCAGAGACCTGGAAAACATTTGTGGTCAAATTAGTATATTTATTGCAACAGCACTATTTTAAATGCAGGATTTCTAGAATAATACAAAAAAATTTAATCACAGACACTGACATATACAAGTCCATTTGTGTTAGGCCTAACATTAGTTAAGCCTTTATTAAGTATGGCCTGTATTTGATAAGAGATAAATTAACACAATAACTTGTGTATGTGTTTTTGCTTTAGTCAGGGATAAACTTTACTGCAGTTAAAACTTTCTATAAATAAACTTGTAATGTTATTTTATGACCTAATATTAGACCTTTTTAAAAACTTTGGTAAACTTTTAATATTTTGGTGTACGAAATGTCTACTAAAGTACAGATATATCCATCGAAATGAAATGCATGCACATTTAGATAGTAAAATGCACACACATTTAAAGGACAGACAAAACTGAGTGTTATTATAATAGGCAAGCAAAAGTACCTGTACCCAGTGAAGGGAAAAGTTTAAGTTAATATGTCAATTTAAATTATTTCATGTACTTTAAAAAGGTTAATTGTGTTGCATTCTTGGTTTACTCAGAGCCAAAGCTCAGAGCTTCTTATACCATCCACTGCAAAAAGTAATTGTTGAACATTTCAATCATGCTACATTTTCATTCTTTAAGTTGCATCACATTTTGAAATGTGAATGATAGTGTGATTAATTCCTTATAACTTAGTGTAGAATATCCTACTTGCAAAATAAAATTTGGCATCAACATTATTCATGCCTGTACTCCCATCATTTCAAAAGTAAATGTAGAGCTTTGCCTGCATGTGCAGCTTTTCAAGCACAGTGCAGGAAGCAGCCATCATGAACAGGAGACAGACGAACACTTGACAGACACCATGGTTCAAAATATACATAAGATGATAGGTGCTGATCCCAATTGGTCTGTTCAGAGGTCATTAACTCATTAAACATTTACTTGACAGCCTATATTACCCTTTCAATTAAGCCATCAGACTGAGGATTATACAATGAAATGTGTTTCCTCATCCCTAAACTATACACAACTGTACAAACAACTGAATGTTAAAGTTAGCTCTTTCACCTGTGTGGTTCCAAGTGCTCCATGTCTTGTTATCTGCTCTTCATTTAGTAATAAATCAAGTGCAATTTTCACTTGTGACAAAATGCAACCTCACTGATGTTGTTCCATGTAGTCATATGCCTTCCTTTTACATTACTCTCTAGAATCTTACCAAACATGACATCTTGCTCAGTCAAAAAAGTAGAAGCCCTTAAGATGTAATATACTCTGACTTCCTTACTTTAAATCAGTGTACACCTCAGACTAAGCTTCTCCAACATTGGTCTTTTTGTATGTCTTTTTCTCCAGGAAATTTTACATAATCATCTATCTCATGTCTCCTGGTCTCTGCTTCTT